AGGAGAGAGACTGGCTCAGGCAGCTACTCAGAACATCTCTGCTCTTGGCCTCCTAGCACCACCCCTGAGTCAGGGCATTCGGAGGCTGAATCTTAGCAGACCCTTGAGAAGCCAGGATATTCTGCCCAGATCACCCACCAGAAACGGGCGGATGCTCCAGCAGACACAGGTGCCTTCTCCACTGCCTCCTCCCGTAAACAGATGCCAAAGCCTCCTTCCTTCTTTTCCCTTTTGTGCTTTCCAAGCCTCCAATATTCCATGCTGCCAGTTCCAGGATCCTACAATCACATTCCTACTTGAGTTTCCCACTCAGTTTTTGTTGTTCAATTTTGTTTTTTTATTACAATGAAATAAGCATAAGACTTATCAACTTAACTGCTTTGAAGTGTACAATTCAGGGGTAGTAAGTACACTCATAATGTTGTGCAACTGTCACCATTTTCTGTCTTTATAACCCTTTGCACGATGTAAAACAGAACCTCAACAAATCAGATGTGTGTCTGTTACACCTGGTTGGCCCATTATGCTGTTCAGACCCTCTATTTTCCTTTGTTACTCTCTGTCCGGTTGCTCTATACATTACTACTAGTGGTGTTTTCCTTACTAGTTTAGTTTGATTATACTTTTAAAAGGTTTATGCAATTGAAAGTCAGAATTACGTAGTGAGGGAGATCTTTCCTCTATTTGGTTCACTCTCCAGATGGCCACAACAGCCAGGATTAGGCCAGGTCAAAAGCAGGAGCTTCTTCCAGGTCTCCTGTGTGAGCAGCAGGCACCCAAGCACTTAGACTTTTTTTTTTTTCCTTTTCCCAGGCCACTAGCTGAGAGCTGCGTCATAAGCAGGAAATGTAGAACTCAAACCGACACCCATATGGGATGCTGGCATCAAAGGCAGCAGTTCACCTACTACACACAATGTCTTCCCTGTTCTATCCATCACCGAGAAAGGAGTATTGAAACTCCCAACTACTATTGTAGAACATGTTTTTCCTTCTTCTATTTTCTCAGCGTTTGTTTCCTATGCTGTGATGATCTCTTCTTGGGTGTGTAACTGTTTACAGTTTATTTTTCTTGCTGCACTGAACCTTCTATCCAAACAGTGACCTTCTGTATTTAAAGTCTATTTTGCAAGACTTCAGTATCACTGCTCTGTTCCCGCTCACTCTATGCACAAAGTACCTTTCTCTTTCCTCACTTTCAATCTATACTTATGTTTGGATCTGAATCAGATGTCTAGTTGAACATACATAGTTGGGATCATGTGGTTTTACCTGTTCTGCCAACCTCTGTCTCAACTGAAGAATTTAGCCCATTTATATTTAATTGCTGTAAGGAGGTATTCATTATTGTTATTTTGTTATTAGTTTTCCAAATTCTTTAGTGTTTTTATTCCTCACTTTTACATTACTGTCTTCTTTAATGCTTAGTTGATTGTTTTCTTTGTAGCAAAATATTTAAATTCCTTTCTCGTTTCCTTTTTGTTTATATATTCTTTAGCTATTTTCTTTGTGATTACCATGGGAATTACATTTAACATCCCAAAGTTGTAACACTCTAATTTACATTCATATCAGCTTAACTTCAGCAATATATACAACCCTATTCTTTTAATAGCTCTGTCCCTACATATTTCAGTTGTTGATATCCCAAAATTACAACCTTGGGGCCTGTGTGGTAGCATAGCAAACTAATCCTCTTCCTAAAGCACCAGTACCCCACATAGGTGCCAGTTTATGTCCTGGCTACTCCACTTCCCTTCCAACTACCTGTTTGTGGCCTAGGAAAAAAGTAGAGTGTGGCCCAAAGGCTTGGGACCCTGTATCCATGTGGAACATCCGGAAGAAGCTCCTGGCTCTTAGCTTTGAATTGGCTCAGCTCCGGCCATTGTGGCCACTTGGGAAGTGAACCAGCAGGTGAAAGATCTTTTTTCTGTCTCTCCTTTTCTCTGCAAATGTTTCAAATAAAAATGCATTTTAAAAGTTACAGCTTTATGTATTACAAGTCCCAACAATAAACTAGGTGCTCTTTTACAAATTCATCTTTTCAACTAAGTAGAAAACAAAAACAGGAGCTACACAACCAAGTTACAATAATATTAATTTTTACAATTGCCAGAGTCCTGCCCTTTCCAGAGATCTTTGTTTCATCATAAGGCTTCATGCTGCTGTCTAATATTCCTTCATTTCATCCTGCAGGGCTCAACAACAAACTTGTGCACAGAACTCCAGTGTTCTCTCACTAAGCCACTTGAAAGTGTCAACTGTGAGACTGTGCAGGGTCACTTCTGTGTCTCAGTTTCCACATCTGTAAAATGGAGCGGAGAGTCAAGTTCCTAAGAACTCTGCATAAAGGCTTAAAAATGGGAACATGAGTGGGAGGACTTCACCAACCCAAAGGTGTTCTGTCCCATTGTCCCCCAGTCCTCATATTGGTACCAGCACCTCCAGGGGAGGTATATTATATCATATCATATTATATTATATTATATATATTATATATCACTTTTATTTGAAAGGCAGATTTTTGTAGAGAAGAGACAGAGAGAGATTCCATCCACTGGTTCATTCTCCAAATGCCCACAACAACCAGAGCTGATCTGAACTCAGGAGCTTCTTCTGAGTCTACCCCGTAGGTGCAGAGTCCTGTGAACTTGGGCCATCCTCCACTGCTTCCCCAGGCCTTCAGCTGGGAGGTGGGTAGGAAGTAGCTGGGACATGAAATGGCACCCAAATGGAATGCCAGGACCACAGAGCCAAAGAATAGCCTGCTAGGCTACTGCACGGGCCCGAAACACAGTTCTTTTCTTCCTGATCTTTTTTCCCATTATTTCCTCCCATGGTTCTAAGCTCTATTAACCTCATCCCTGCCAGCTTCTGCAAGCTGAGAAGAAAATGCAGCATGAAAAAAACCAACTGGGGATCCTGGGAGAGGCATATGGAGATGTGTTGGATTTACAGGGGCTTCAGTCAGACCTTGGCAGCAACAGTGAGAAAGGAAAGGAAGATGTTACTCAAGGCCTGGTGAGTGAGCAAGTCAGCCAGAGGAACTGACCATGCCTTTTCACTTCCGTCTGAAAGTTGTGCAAGCCACGGGGTCCTAAGCCAATCTCCTTCAACTATCAGGCACACTGGAGGCCGCAGCTCCTGTCACTGACAAGAGTCGGGGACGGCCAGCCTACAGGCCACCAAAGGGCGGCAGAACCTCACCCTCTGGTTCTGCCAAGACAATCACAGGTAGGATTTGAAACTCAATATTCCAACCTAAAGTAGCTGATTGTACAGCAGATACTTGTGTGTGGCCCACAAATGAAATTCTAACTCTCGAAATGGCCCTTGAAAGAAAAGATTCCCCACTACTGAGTCTGCATCTGGACTAATTCTTATGATCTTCCCTCTGTCTAAGAGGGAAGGGGGCTTCTTACTGATGCCCACGGCACAGGTGGGGAAACCGAGGCCCAGGGAGCTGTACAAGGCCATCAGACAGCCAGGGGCACAGCGAACGTCTGAGCTGTGTGATTCCGGAGGTTCCAGGGCCCTTCACCACACCACACTCTGCCGTGGGTGTGGATCCTACAGCAGCACCCTGAGAACTGGGGCCCAGACTGTCACTCTAGGTCTGAACAGAATGTGCTGCGCAACCCTCCCCCGACCTGCCTAGATCTCTCACCCTCTTTGGGTCTCACCACCATCTATTTAGGAGGTGGCTGTGGTCCGGATTAGATAATAACTGTTAGGTCCGGCATGGTAGCTTAATGGCTAAAGTTCTTGCCTTGCACAAGCTGGGATCCCATATGGGTATCAGTTCATGTCCCAGAAGCCCTGCTTACCATCCAGCTCCCTGATTGTGGCCTGGAAAAGCAGTCTAGGATGGCCCAAAACCTTGGGACTCTGCACTTGCCTGGGAGACCTGCAAGAAGATTCTGGCTTCTGGCTGTGGATCAGTGCTGCTTCGGCCGTTGCGGCCACTTGGGGCGTGAGCCAGCAGACAAAAGATCTTTGTTTCTATATCTCCTTCTCTCTGTATATCTGCCTTTCCAATAGAAATTTTTAAAAATTTAATAAATAAGCAAATAAATAAATGATGACCATCAAAGTATACCACATGGTCCCTGGCATAGCCTGGCAGGGACATGAAAAGCAAGGCAACAAAGACAGTGCGTCTCTGTAACCATCTTGGCATCATCACAGGAGGGAAGACCAATGCGTGTGAAGAGAGGAGAGAGACAGAGAGGAAGAGCTTCCATTCGATAATTCACTCCCCAAGTGACCACAACGGCTGGTGCTGTGCCGATCCGAAGCCAGGAGCCCAGATGGAGGGCTACCTGGAGGAGGGGGCACTGGGAAGCGTGCAGAGGTATCACCTTCTCCTTATTTCTGTGACTGGAGTACTAGAGCTTATGACAGGTAAAAGCAGGCGGTCAGGACCTGACACCCACGAGCAGGGAGCGAGGGCATACCACATGGGCCTTGAATGCCAAGCGGGGGAGTATGACTTTTGCTGTTGAAAAGTTCTAAGTGCAAAAGTGCAAGGAGGTATGATTCACTATACAGATTTGCAGCTTGGAACAGTCACTCCTGCTACCTCCAGCGTGGACGGCGGACAGGTGAGGGGAGCCCAGGTGGGTAATTTACAGGAGACAGGAATGGGGAGGAAATAGAACTGAAAGAAGTTCTCCCCTCTGAGGCCCCTAGAGGTCACTTCCTAGTGAGGACAATAACTGGGACTGCCCAGGAGCTGTGGGCAGTGAGGGGTCTGGCACCTGCACCCCCACACTCCTCAGGGGCCGTGAATTTAGCTGCACCTGCTGGGTGCTGAGGCCCACTCCTCCTCCCGCAGGGCAAGGTTACCCAGTACCAGCAAGTGACAGCGCTCTCCGAGAGTGGCTCTCACCACTGGCCCAGCAGGCAGAGAGCAGGGTGGGGTGGGGTGGGGTGGGGTTACCAGGGTTCTGACTCCGCCCTTCTGCCGCCCCAGGTTCAGGTTCTCAGTAGACTAGACTTCAATCCAGTCCATTCAGCTTGGCCATACAGGGACGTTGGATACAAACACCACTTCGAAGGCTGTTTGATGGGGGAGTTTGGGAGTTCACCTTGCTCCCACACTCAGGTAGGACAGGTGCCCATACTCCTCCAGACACCCAGCTGGCAGAGGACAGGACTCAGCCCAAGCAAGTCCCTGGGACCTCACATGGACAGTGCAGGGAGGTCCCATCAGAGTGCGAGGGTACAGCCCTCTTCCCTCCCCCAGGGCTTCCAGAGCTCAAGGGATGCTTTTTAATGTTGGGGGGGGGGAGTAATAGGTAAAGAAGAGGGAGCAGAGAAATTGGGTGAAACAAGTCTGGTGGATTGGGAGGGGGACGCGCAGAATTACCCAATCTCTCCACCCAGTGCTCTCTCAACAAAGCGCATGAGAAGTTTCTGGGAGGTCCACGGGCCCTGCTACCAGATGCTATCAGCTGCCTGGGAAAGTCCCCTTGCCAAGGGAGGCGATGGTCTGGGCTTGTGGATGGGACACACACACACAGGCGCTCAGCTGGCTCCTTCCAGAAAACGCCTCCACTAGGCCGCTTCTGCCCCCAGCCCCCTCCTGAAAACCGTTGTAGATGCTCTCCTACCCCTGCAGGCATCAGCAAGGGTGCAGAGGGTGGGAATTACCCCGTCTCTCCACCCAGCGCTCTCTCCCAAGTGCATGGGAAGCCTTAAACTTGCCCGGGATGCACACAGTGACAACGACAAGTCCACCATATAATGCAGAGATTTCTCTCTGTCCTGCCTAGCTCCTGAGCAGTTCTCGCCGCTCCTCTGTCTTTCTGCCGGTCTTTCCCTGCTCAGAGTCTTGGTCTCTCCCTCTAACGCCTCTGGACTTCTTTTCATTCTTAAAAAAAGTAGGGGATGAACTCCAGAAAAGGAAACCCTCACCCACCCACCCATCTGCTTTTCACCAACGACTCCTTCTCCACCCCTCCCTTCCTCTCTCTCTCTCAGTCCTTCTCTCCCTCTAGCGACCTCCAGATGTTCCCGACCCAGCGGCCATCTGCTGAGCCGCGCCAGGGGTGGAGGCAGGGCTCCGGGATGCAGGAAGCTGGGAGTGCGCGGCCCGGAGAGGGCGGGAGCTGCGCCGTGCACTTTGCAGACGCTCCCTAGGTGGACGCCGCGCCGGCCGGGGAGGCGGGCGGAGCGCGCGGCGAGGCGCCGGCACTTTGGCGACACTCCCTGCGCCGGGCCGGGCGCCGGGCCGGGGGGAGCCCCGGCGGGGAGCGGGGGGCGGGCCGCGCGGCGCCCAGAAAAGCGGCGTCCCCGGGGGAGCGTGCCGAGGCGGCGGCCGCGCAGCCTTCCAGGTGGGTGTCGGGGCGCCCGGGCGGAGCGGGAGCACCCCCTGCCCGGGCCAGCCTGCGGGCGGCGCAGGGGGCGGGGCTGGGGCTCGCCAAGGGCCCCCCTCAACTTTTCCCGGGCCCCCCGGGCGGCGGGACGGAGGGGCTGGAGAGGAGCTGGTTCCCGGAGACAAAGGCTGCGGCCGAGGGGGTCGGTGCCCACACGTGCGCGTCTTTGTGGAGGGTCGCGGTGCGGGACGCGCATCCGCCCGTGCCTTTGTGTGTGCGTGGCTGCCGTGGGCGCGCCGCCGCGTGTCCGAGTGCGCGGCCGGTGCTGTCGACGTGTCTGGGCTGGGTGTCCGTGGGCTGCGTGCGCGCCCGGCTGCTCGGCCCCTGCCGTCGGCCCGGCCCCCCGACTTGGCGCAAACTTTTCTCCAGGTTCCCTGCGCTCGTGGCAGCCCCGGCGCGCTGGCGGTGGGGGCGCGCGCAGCCCTCCCCTCTCACCTCCTCTAGTTCCGAGGGACTGGGATGGGGAAGGGGGGTCGGCCGGGCCAGGGCAGGGCGGAGTGTGCCGGACACCCGACTGGGAGCGCGAGGGACGCGGCTGGTCCCCCGGCTTGGGCCTGGGCTGGAAGGACGAGCTCGCCCGGTTTCTCGGAGAGAGTATGAGTGTGACCAAGAGGAAGGGGGCTGCATGAGTGTGGGGACCGGCTCCCCCTCTGAGATCCATAGGCCATCTGCTTGCGTCGTGCCCCTGGTCAGGACACTAGCCCCGGGATCCAGTAGGTGAGAGAGAAGCCGACCCGGGCTTGCCCCGCTGCCCCAAAGGAGCCCGGGCTGGGCCGCATGGCCAGGGAAACACTGGCTTCGAATGGAACCTTTAGGGGTCCACTCTGGGGCACAGGGTACGTAGCCCAGCGTTACTGAGTGGCGGCCACTCTTGCTGAGTCCACCCGTGGGTTCTCTGGGCTAGAGTGTGCACTTGGGGAGCCCACCCCGCCACCCGGCCTTGGCTGGGCAGGAGGTGACTCAGGAGCTAGTCCTGTCCTTCCACGATGCACGACTGCCTGTTGAATTTGTCTACACTTGCCGGGCCTGGGAGGAACTGACCAGAACGGGAGGGGTCTGAGCTAGTGGCCAGAGCCTGGTGGGCCATCCTGGGTCACAGATAACCCTTCTCCCCGCCCCCATCCCAGCCTTTAACCACTTGGAAGGGGAAGTGGCCGAAGTGGGGGCTGCCCCTTCCCTCTCAGGGCCTCAGTTTTCCTTCTGGGAGGAGCAGTGATGGTGGCAGGCTGATGCCCTTTCTCTCTCCTTTCTTCCTGTCTGGAACTGTTGGGACCCCAGGGCCCTTTGATGCGCAGCATGCATCTCTGTTGGGAACTGAGCGTGCCCTGGCCCTGAGGGACTGCCCAGTCACTGGCAGGCTTTCTGCACCATGGGAGGAAGCACAGAGGCCCAGAGTGCCATGTGGACCCCTGGGAGAGGATTAGCGGCGCCCCCCCCCCCCCCTTATCTTTTCAATGACAGGTTGTGGGTGGTGGAGTCCACAGCACTTTTCTTTTCTAGATTTATTTTAAAATTTTTTGTTTTTAATTGGAAAATCAATTTGAGAGAGGATAGAGAGAAAGATCTTCAGTCTGCTGGTCTGCCTCCCAAGTGGCAAACAGCCAGAGCTGAGCCAATCCAAAACCTGGAACTTCTTTTGGGTTTCCCACGTGGGTGCAGGGTCCCAAGGATTGGATCCCAGGCCACAAGCAGGGAGCTGGAACGGAAGTAGAGCAGCTGGGACATGATCCAGTCCCCATATGGGATCCTGGCACTTGCAAGGGGAGGATTTTAACTGAGCCATTGCGCTGAGCCCGACAGTTTTCTCCTTAATATGATTTCTGATTCACAGCAAGGGACTCACTTAGAACCTGCTTGTCCTTTCTCAGGGAAGGCTGGCTGCACTGAGAGGATACTTATTAAAAACTATGGGGGAGACAGTGTTGTCAATACCTTCATCCCATGTGGATACTGGTTCAAGTCCCGGCCGCTCCACTTCCACTCCAGCTCCCCGCCATTGCACCTGGAAAGACCCCAGTAGATGGCTCAAGCACTTGGGTGCCTGCAACCACATGGAAGACCCAGATGAGATCTGGCCCAGCCCTGGCTGGGGCCACTGGGGGAGTGAACCAGCCGGTGGAAAATCTCCGTTTCTTTTTGTCTCTCTGTAATTCTGCCCTTCAAGTAAAGAAAAGTGTATCCTGGGAAAAGAAAAATGAAACAATGTTGGGACTGCCCTAGAAGTGCCCTGGCCAGAAGAGGCCCAGGGAAGCAGGAAGAGGCTCCTGTAGAGGAGCCTATAGAAGACTCCATGTGTTCTGAAACCAGCCCCTAGACGGTGGAGGAGCACTGTGGGCTGGCAGACGACAGGGAGAAGGGGGATGGCAGGGGCCAGAGCACCCTGGACCACTCGGAGCTGGTGGAAGCTTGGGCAGTGGAGAGCAGCTCAGCCGCCAGGTTCTGATGGGCGCTGCAGGCCAAGCGAGCTAGCCTTGAGAGCTCTGGGGCCCTGGGAGTTATGCCCATCACTGTTTTCCAGCTATTTGCCTGGGCCGAGGAGCCTCACCTCTGATCCTCAGTCCTTTTATCCTGTGAGTGGGTGCTCCTTTGCCACCGAGCTGTGGAGGTGTGAACTAGGCTAAGGAGCGACTCCTGAGGTGGGAAGTGGTTTGAGCCACTGGGTGCAGACACCAGCTAGGGTGCACCAAGTACAGATGGCTAGGCCCACATCTGCTCTGGTCCTCAACCTGACTGAGTACCAGCAATGCCCTAAGCAGCCTGTAAGCCTTCCCAGGCAGAGGGGAGCTTTCTAGCCATGACACTGCGGTCATCTGGTTTACCTCATCACATGGCTGGGCCCAGGAATAGAGGAGGGGCACATGGACTCAAAAACAGCTGTAGACCATGAAGTGGGTTGGTACCTTGGCAAGGGGAAAGCCCAGGGGGAGGGCAGCCTTTGCTGAGTGAGGGGTCGGTTAAACCGAGAGGCTTCAGAGGAGACAGCATTTGGATCAGGCAAGTGTGAGTTTGGTGGACAGAGGAGAGGGGGCCTCTGTGATCATCGGAAGGAACAGCCTGTGCAGAGGCAGCGTGGGACAGGTCTCTGCAAGTTCTGTGTGGTGTGGCTTCTGAACAGGGAACCGTGGTGGAGTCCTGGGCTTCCACTGGGAGGTGTACTCTGGTACCCAGTGGCTGCCAGTTAGAGGCACAGGCCAGCAGGCCTCCTGGTCCCAGCCTGGGCAGGTGAGGTGACTGCCCAGCTTGGGGAGGTGGGGAGAGCAGGCAGTGGTCCACCTGTCTGGGAGCAGCAGCTGACAGGGCACCAGCTCCTCCTGCTCCAGCCCTCTCTGCTCCCTGTCACTCTCCAGCCATCCCTCAGCAGCTCCCTGGGAGAGCTGGCCAACACCAGGAAACCCCGCCAGGGACCTGGGCGTGCTGAGCACCAAGGCCAAGGCTTGGGCTTCATCCCATGTCCCTGCCTTGCCTTGGCACCTGCTGTTGTCACAGCTCTTTTTTTTCCTTCCCCACTCCCCAAAGTCACTCCTTACGGAGTGGGGCCTAACATGGAGTGAGCACCAAGAAGGGGGCAGGCCCGGGGCTGAGTCCTTGTCAATTTGTGGCATATCATTACAGAGACATCCCCCATCCTGGCGGACTCAGCACCATGATTATCACCGAGTCGTGAATGAGTAATCACTCAGACTCAGGCCACATGGTGGGCAAGGTCCTATGTGGTCAGTGCCCAGTTTGCCTGGCTGCAGTAGCCCTCTATCCACCCCAAGCCACCTCCACTTACGCCCACATAAAGGGTGGGAACTTAGAAAAGTGCTAGAGGAGGATGTGCTGCAGGGGGGAAGTGGGGTAGGGAGCCGTGCCTGTCTCCCAGTCCATGATCCTCCTTGGACAGGCTGCTGGCCTTCCCACTGCCCCCCACCAGGGCTGATGTCATGGTGTCAGAGCCTGGGCCCCAAGAACAGTCCTTGTGTCCACCTGGCGTGTGCCTCTGGCCAGGACTTCAAAGTGAGTCCAGGCTCCCCCTGCCCCAGGAAGACTGGAGGTAACCCTGTCACTGCACTTGGCACAGACGTGTCATCCCAGTTTTGGAGCTGAGACGCCTGGGCTGTGGGTCCTGCTTCCACTCCTCCCTGGCTCAGTCATGTCTGGCTGCTAGTCTGCTGGCATTGACTGTGGCAACATGACCAAGATGGTGGTGAGGGGCGTGGTAAGCTGCCTCGTTTGTCCTGCCAGGTTAGATGTGTGTTAGGAGAGCCGGCCAGGAGGCGCCAAGCCATTCCAAGTGCCTTGTGCTTGCAGAGCTGGAGGCGGGATGTTGATGCAATCCCACCTGGGGATTCCGCTGGCGTCAGTGTGGGTGAGCTCATGGTGGAGGGGCGGGAGGTAGCACAGCTGGAGGAGCAGCCAGCCCTGACTCAGGTGGCTGCTAGAGCCCCAGGTCAGGCTGCAACTCTGTTTCCTGCCCAGCTCCCAGAGAGGCAGTAGAATGGGGGAAAGCCTCTCTCTTGAAGTTTTAGGAGAAGCTTGGAACTTCTGTGGCCCAGAGATGCTGTGGGGTGGCACCAAGGAAAGGCAGCCAGAACCTGCGGGGGAGGAGGGTCTGTACTGGAACTCCAAGCCCCCTAGCGGGTGTGTCTCAGAGGAAGGGAGAAAGTGGAGGCTGGCTTGGAGACCCGCAGGAGCGAAGTGGCTGGAGAATGTGGGCACAAGCCAGGCAGCTGGCCCTGCACTGGGAACTTGGGAGGGAAGGGCATGAAGAGTATCATGGCCATCCAAAGGCTGGTTAGGTGACCCCTGTCATTCCGGCACATGCTAAGCTCTGTGGCACGAGGCCCAAGGCCTGCACTCAGCTGAAAGCTTGACTCTTGGGGAAAGCCCTGTGTCCTGGTCCCTAGAGCGGGGGTGGGGGGTACCTTGAGACTTGCCCAAAGCCTGGCTCTGCCATGTTTAACCAGTTCTTGGTTGATGCCCCTGCCCGCCCTGCCCTGGCTCTGTCCCCAGGCTGTGGAAGGCAAGCAGGTGAAGAGAGCAGGGCCTTGTCCCTAAGCTGCCCACACTTGAGGTTGGGGAACCACAGGGAGTTGGGCTCGGGATGCACAGAATGGGCCTTGTTTTGCGGGCTGGATCTGAGTGGCTCCAGCCACTGCAGGAGGGGCCAGGGCCCAGCTCCTTGGCTGCCCTGCCCAAGCTACTCTGGGCCTCACTCACCCAGTGAGGCTGTTTGAGAAGTGCAAGCAGAGCCTCACAGGGCAAGGGCCTGTTCCACTGTGGCCACCAAGGAGAGCTTAAATCCAGATGGGGGCTCAGTTCGGGAAGGGAAGGAGGTGGGGACAGCCTGCGAATGCCTTTGTGCCAGGGACACAAGTTGATTCCTGTAGGTTGAAATCAGAACCTGAGCCACCTTTGGTCAGGAGAGTACCAGGCCCAGAGCAGCTGTTGCAGGGAGGTGTCTCATGGCAGGGCTGGGCTGCTACACTGGCAAGAGCTATCAGGGCTGAGCCATTCGCTCTCCTGTGCTCCTAGGCCATCGGCACACTTTCTTTAGGGTCGCCATGAACTTGTCCCTCATAAGCGCAGCACAACGTGGGATGGAGGGAGTGGGGGTCGTTGCTCAAGCCCGTGTGTTCTGCTGTACCCAGCAGATGCGTGAGCTGCAGGCCAGGGCTGGAGAACATGATGAGTCATGACTCAAGCACCTCTTATCTTCCTCAGCCTGCTTTGGTAGTCATCCCACCTCTGTCTGCCGTCCCCCTTTGCCCAGGCAGAGGCCCAGGGAGCACTGTTAGTGCAGTTTATGGACAAAAGAGCCAAGGCTTGGTGCAGGCAGCCCCCAAGGGCACCCTAGGGTGGCAGGCCTGGGAGCAGCATCCTGATCTCTTGGGTCCTGGTGTGTAAGTGCTATTGTTGGGTCTTCCCCCACTGCTGGTCTCTGAACCCTGTGCGGAAGGAGGCTGGGAGCCAGCCCTTCCTCCCCAGCACACCGTACCCCCTGCACACCTTCACATTGGCTCTGCCCAGTGTTTTGCACACAGCAGAGGCATAGTAAATGCTTTTGTTAATTTTTAAATGCTGAAACTCCAGAGTTGAGTTACCTAAACTAAACTGCTTACCGTGTAGCCAGGCAAACTGAGGCTCAGAGGGGGAGGGGAATTATCCAAAGATGAGAACTGTCTGGGGTAGAACAGGAGCTAAGACTCTCCCCCAGTATGGCCCCTCCTGTCCACCCCCTGGAGTGTGAGCAGGGAAGCATGGCCTGGCTGCCCTGCCCTGGGCTGCATCCTGCAAATAGTCTGGGGGAGGCAGCACCCAGGAGCGCACTGGGTCCAGAGTCCTGGCTGGGCATTTTCATGTGTGTTCTCCTGGAGAAGAGGGGTGTAACTTCTGTTTTCTCTGATCTGTGACACCCTCCATGGCACCACTAAGTCACTCTTTGGGCCTCAGTTTGCTTTATCGTAAAATGAGGATGAAATTGCCCACCTTATAGAGTCATAAGAGAACATGTGTCCTGCCTGGGCTCACTGTCATCACATTCTGGTGCTGGTGCCCAGCTCTTGGGCGTAAGTCTGGAGCCCCTGGAGGAGTGTCCCGCCCTGGGCAGGGCTGAGCGCGGCCTGGTCCTGTGCCCTGGGAGCAGGTCTGAGCAGAGTCATCTGGGTGGGTCTCTATCCATGCTGCTGCTCCTTGCAGTTGCTCTCACTGGTGCTGCCCAGTGGGGCCCACCCCATGTGTGTGCATGGTGCTACAGCATGCAGTGCGTTCCAGTGAAGGCCCATCAGCCTCTGGGAGGAAGGCAGAGGGTCCAAGGCAAGGCCAAGGCCTGGAGGGGTCCCCTCCACTGTGAGGCAGCACTTGGACGGGGTTCTGCTGTCAGTTACATAAGCGGGTTCACATGAGCCACTTGGCATCTCCAGGATACCTGGGAACCAAAGGGTCACCTCGGGCTGTTTGTTTAAGCCCCAGGAGGGGTGGTTAGGAGCAGATCAACCCAACAGAGAAGGAGGGACATGGGGCGGTGATGAACCCTTCTCACCCGGGAACCAAAGGAACCTGAACCTCTTAGTTTCAAACGTTGGAACATTTTGTCCTGTCTGCGCTGGGACTCTGCCGAGGATGCACCTGGGCTGGATTTAATCCTCAAATTGGCCTCTACAAAAGGAAGGGGTGGGAGAGAAGGGGCCCCTGGGTGAAGTGGAAGTGCAGATCAAGTGACCGCCCCTTTAAAGTTTCATGCCTGCCTGGAAACGCTATCCCGCTGCTCCCTGGCCCATCCGCCCCTTGTCCCCACCCTGTTCCCTGAAGGCCTGGGGGAGGGCTGGGTAGGCAGGGGCACAGGGCCTGCCCAGTGAGGAGACCTGCTGGGGAGAAGCTAGCACCTCCTCCTGCCCCCAGCCCCAGTGAGCATTGTGCTGGCCAGGGTAGCCTCAGAATGCCCGGGCTGCGCCCACAGGAGCCTTTGCTGCTTAACCCTTTGATTGCTTGCACTAGTGCGCCTGGGTGCCAGCACCATTTCAGTTAGTGGAGGCAGACAAGGCCTTGAGGTCCACCTGGGTGCCTGTTAGATGGGGTAGCCGGTGTGGAGTGCCTGGGCAGCTGTGGCAGCCACAGGTGTGTTTGAACAAAGAAGGGAGCTAAGCTCCAGGCCCAGTACCTGCCCAAGGGAAGAGCTGGCTCTGATCTCCTTCCAGCTCCTCTCCCTGCCAGGCCTGCTAGAAGTGATGGGTGTGAACACAGGGGTTGAGTTCTAATCCTTTCGGGTATCAGGTCCTCCCACCACCTGAGCCTGTTGATTCTGCCTGCCCAAGATTAAAGGAAGGTATACAAGTATAACTGTCAGCCATGAGCTGGGGATAGAAGTGCCGAAAACCCATCTGGGAGTCTTGATGAGGAGTCCCCGGGGGAGGGGATTCAGGACTGGAGGATAGGCCTAGGAGATGGGGCAAGTTAGGGTGAGGTGGGGAGAGCCACATAGGGTCCCCTGGTCTGGAAGGCTGGGGTGCTTCAGCCACTGCCCAGCCACCAAGGCTGTGCTCCTTTTAGGTGTACCCTGTCTAGTGCCACCTCATGTAATCATGTGGTTCTAAGCTTGTTTCCTTTTTAATTTAAGATTTATTTACTTGTTTATTAGAAGTGGAGGGCAATGAGCCTCCAGCCTTGACCCCTGCCTACTCAGTGAACTCCTCCCGGTGGGGCTGAGGTCTAGCCCATGACCTTAACTGCTGGAGCTAAAGAAACCAGTCTGAGAAACCATGCAGGGGTTTCACTCGGAGTTTCTGGCTGCCTTCTGGCAGAGACAGGGAGTGGGCAGGGATGGGCCTACTTCAGCCGCAGCAGTTCCACTGCCAATCTGGTACGAAGTGGGTCTGCTGGCAGCCACCCCTGCAACTGCAGCTCACCCCTTACAAGGTACAGTCAGTCCTGTGCGGTGCATCCAGCCCCTGCCTCTGGTTCTCTTTCCAGCCCCCACCATGCTACTGCCCGTGTTGCTGCTGGCTCTGGCCACGAGTGGAACCCCGACGACCCGGCCGTGCTTCCCCGGGTGCCAGTGTGACGTGGAGACCTTTGGGCTCTTCGACAGCTTCAGCCTGACGCGAGTGGACTGCAGCAGTCTGGGCCCCCACATCATGCCTGTGCCCATCCCGCTGGACACGGCCCACCTGGACCTGTCCTCCAACCGACTGGAGACGGTGAACGAGTCGGTGCTGGCAGGCCCTGGCTACACCACGCTGGCTGGCCTGGACCTCAGCCACAACCTACTCACCAGCCTCCCACCCACCGCCTTCTCCCGTCTGCGCTACCTGGAGTCACTGGACCTCAGTCACAATGGCCTGGCTGCCCTGCCGGCCGGCATCTTCACTAGCTCCCCTCTGAGCGACGTGAACCTCAGCTACAACCGGCTGCGGGAGGTCTCCCTGTGGGCCTTCACCACGCCCAGCCAGGGCCACACACAGCACATCGACCTCACCCACAATATGCTGCCCCACCCAGTCCGGGCCACCCTGCCCACGCCCACCATCCAGAGCCTCAACCTGGCCTGGAACCGACTCCGCGCTGTGCCCGACCTCCACCAGCTGCCCTTGCGCTACCTGAACCTGGATGGGAACCCTCTGGCCACCATTGGCTCCGGGGCCTTCGCGGGGCTGGCAGGCCTGACCCACCTGTCACTGGCCAACCTGCAAGGTGTCCCCCAGCTGGAACCCTATGGTTTCCAAGAACTGACAGGTCTGCAGATCTTGGATCTGTCAGGCAACCCCAGGCTCCAGTGGACAGGCGCTGAGGTCTTCTCAGGCCTGGGCTCACTGCAGGAGCTGGACCTGTCAGGGACGGGCCTGGGGCCCCTGCCTGAGCTGCTGTTGCATCACCTGCCCGCCCTGCAGAGTGTGAATGTGGGCAACGATGTGCACTGCCGGCGCCTGGTGCGGAAGGGGGCCTACCCACGGCAGCGTGGCTCCAGCCCCAAAGTGGCCCTGCACTGTGGGGACATGCAGGAGGCTCTTGCTGCTGCCAGGGGCCCTGACATCTTGTGACAAACAGTGTGGCCTGGGGCCACATGACAGACTGTTACCCTGGGCTTGCTCAGGTCCAGAGTGCCTTTGCCCTGGGGCAGGGGCCACAGGTGTCCCCGCTGAGGACCAAGGAGAAGCTCTGCTGTTCATACCTGGGCCCAGGACTGATTGGCGGAGACAGCTACTTTGCCTCCCTCAGATCATGAGCAGGAGGGATTTTGATTCCAGACCAGACTCCATCAACTCCTGCTGCCCTCCTCCACTTGTCCTCCAAAAGTGCCTTCCCTCTTGCCCAGCCCTAGCTGACCCTGACAGGAGGAAGGAGGGCAGGAGTCAGTGCCGCAGGGCCGAGGGTCCCCTTGGACCCGTCTGCGGCACCATCTTAGGGGCCAAAGCATAGCCCCTTGTTGTTTGTGCCCTTTCTCCTGCAGCCCTGGATAGCACCTAAATTGTGTGTGGGGGGGTGGGACCTGGAAAGAACACAGCAGGTCCACCCTTGTCCTGAGACACAATGACAATCTCCAGTGGGCAGAGACACTACCCCGGGCTGTCTGTTTGCAGTCCTTTCTGGGCACAGGCAGGCCTGCAGAGGCGTGTCTCATCCCAGAGGCCAGCTGTGAGGTGCTATGGGGCAAAGTCAGTTCTTTTAGAACCCCTGGAAGCTTGGGACCCACTCATCCCAGCCCTGCAAGTTCTTTGCTCTGGACTGGGGTTCCCCAACGTCAGGATGGGAGTCAGCCCTGATGCTGTGCCCCAGGAGCTCCCCTAAAGAGCTGGTATGGTCTTGGGGCCCCATCTGTGAGCTTCCAGAGCCTCCTGGACACAGGTACCCCGAGGACACACACTCTCTGTCTTACACACACACACACACACACACACACGTTCCTGGGGCAGCATCTCAGTTCCAAACCCTGGGCCTGTTCCTCCCTCTGTCTTCATTTTGTAAACACTGTTGCCTTTTTAACAGAATATCTCCTTCACCCTTACTCTCCTCCTCTGCTGGCAAGGGGATGGGAACCTGTCTTTTGTAAAAGGAGAAGAGTTGTATCTTTTCACTTTTGTAATATTGGGTGTTGGACTCTTGTGGGGGTGCCAAGCAGAAGCCAGCCTTCTGCAGCCACGGGAGTGTTGGGGCTGGTCCCATGAGATGCCCACGAGGCTGTGAGTGCTCTGTGGTCCTCCACCGGCCCAACCTAGCCACCCAACAGGTCCTTGGTTTAATAAACACTATATAAATATCAAGAGTTCTTTCCATCACTCAGCTACACCCCACCCCCAGACTGAGTTGAGGGGAAGGGAAAACAAGAATGGGTCCAGGGAGGCCCTTGTTAGTCCTGTAAAGCCCCTGATGTGTCAGGCCCCTGGGACTGAGGGCACGGATGTAGAGTGGCTTTGGTGGTGGCCTGCTTCCTGGCTACCTGCTCTGTCACCCTCTCACTACCGCCCTGACTTCCCTACCTCCTCCCACCATCCAGCCACACCCACAAACTTGACAGACCTTTTCTTGCCTCACTGTGACTCAGGCTGTTTCTGTGGACCCTGAGCCCTGCTGGGAGATTGCCTCATTGGTACACATGGGGTAACTGACTGGCTCTCATAGTGGATTCTCCCAGCTTGTGCTCAAGCCTTTGCTGGCTGACTGGCCAGCAGTTACAAGCCTGACCCTCAGCAACATTGCTGAGTGCTTCCTGCTGTCCCTGTGCTGGGCAGGGAAGAGACACGTGTGACACTCCAGAAACTGTGGGTGACCCAGGTGTGGTGGGAGCCCCATGACAGAACAGGAAAGTTTGCACACAGTCCTGGACAAAGGGCTGCCCTGTGGGAGGGATGGTGAGTAAGGATCAGCAGAACAGTCCAGACCTTTCAGGCCCTGGGCACTGTGGGGGGCTTGCCAGCCAGCCAGCGTCCTGAAGGATGCGTACTGATCAGTGCAGACAGTTGAGGTGTCCAGGGAGACCTCAGCCCCTCAATGTCCCAGACACATCCCATGAAACACTAGTAGCTTCAGGTGCAGGGGGAAGGGTGATGGATGCCTAATGCCCAAGGGTCTTGAAGACAAAGTCAGGATGGTTGAGGGCAGCTTATTCAGGAACATAGCCCTGGCCGGCTGCTTCGCCTTCTTCGGCAGCCAGAAGGGCAGGGATACAGTTTCGGAGGGAAGGAGCTCCCAGTGCACTCAACTGGCTCAGCCTTCCCCACCAAAGGGTGTTGCTCACATGTCCAGCCCCTCCCCTGCAAGGGACCCCACTGAACCAGAGCACAGGCCCATCCCGGGGCCAGTCTGACCCACAGCTCCCTCTGGTGGTCACCAGAGCCAAGCTGGTATCCCAGGAAAGATGCCCAGTTCCTGGCCAGTTCTCACTCCCTAACAGCCAGACCACTTTCATCCTGCATATTCCACCCTCCAGGAGTTCTGGTACCCAGGATGAGGGCATTCAAACCTCATTGAATCTCAGAGGGTAGAGCTAAGGTACTATCCTGGGATTCACAGCAAACATTTAAAATCCCTGGCCCGATCATAAAACAATCGATTGTGTGACCTGGGTTAAGTCATTTGATTTCTCTGAGCCTGGAAAGTGGGAACAAAAATGTCCCTCTGAAGAGAATGGCATGGCTTGGAGGGAAGCACCGCTGAGTTCCCTGAGCATTCTCCAGGCTCGGTGGCCCGCCACAGGGAAAGTTACAGAGCTGGCTCCTCTCAGAATCCTGTTTTGGTAACTTCTTCAGAACTGAAGAGCTTTGTCCACTCATAGGATTACAGACTCACAGAGCAGTATTCTTATGTATTTGAAATGGAGAGAGTAGTCCTCGTCTTGAATGCCCCAGGATCCCATATGGATACTGGTTCTAATCCCGGCAGCTCTGCTTCCCATCCAGCTCCCTGCTTGTGGCCTGGGAAAGCAGTCTAGGACAACCCAAAGCTTTGGGACCCTGCACCCACGCGAGAGACCAGGAAGAGGTCCTGGCTGCTAGCTTCGAATGGGCTCAGCTCTGGCCATTGCGGCCACTTGAGGAGTGAATCACTGGATAGAAGATCTTCCTCTCTGTCTCTCCTCCTCTCTATATATTTGACTTTGCAGTAAAAAATAAAATTTTTTAAAAATGGAGAGTTAATTGGCAGAAAGGGAGAGACAGAGATTTTCAGCTGCTGTTTCTATAACTGTAACTGACAGGGCTGGTCTACACTGAAACCAGGATCCAGGAACTTTGCCCAAATTTCCCATGTGGATGCAGGGGTCTTAGTATTTGAGCCATCCTCTGCTGCTTTCCCAGGAGCATTAGGTGGGAGCTGGATTGGAAGTAGAGCAGCTGGGACTTGAACTGGTGCCCATTTGGGGTGCCAGCATCTCAGATGATGGCTTCACACAATATGCCACTGCACCGGCCAGTACTGCCTGGAGCAGTGCTCTTGGGTCCATGGGATCTCGGCTCTGTATGAGTACAGCTTTAGAGATAAGAGAAATGGAGGTAACATATGCTGACACAGCCAGGTAGGGCCACTGGCCATATAGCTGCCAGGTCCTGGACCTATGTACTTCCCAGTTGCCATCATCTCTCACAGAGGTGCCAGCTCCTTTTGTCAGTCAGGGTCTGGAATCAGGGTCAGGAATTCTCTGCATCTCAGAGATCAGCCTGGCAGTACAGTCCCTACACCCAAGGGAAATGGAGTTCTGAGAAACTCAACAGCCCTGAGATTCCATTTATGTTTCTGTTGCAGATCAGTCGTGGGGAGCTGTGTGGCTGTGAGTGCCACCAATCAGGCCATCAGCCCCAGATCTGAGAGTGTAAAAAGTCACGGGCCAGAGAACAGGCCCTTCTCTCTTGGTTCCCTCTCTTCTTTTCAGGGAGTTGTGGGGAGCAGCCCAAGTTCTCCAGGGCAGGTGGCCAGGGCGTTGTGCTTCAGAGCTGTGGCATTTGTGAAACCTTTGGGTGAAATGAGAACGAGAGATTTCTCATCTGAAAAGAATGGAGAATTTCAAGGAGGGAAGAACGAGGCATTCAGGGCAGCACAAAGGGCTGCCTGGCTCCCTCTGGCCGGGCAGTGGGCAGCGTGCTGGAGGAGAGTCTAAGTCTGCGTGATCCAGCCCCTCTAGTTCTGGGAGCTGGTGGGACTCTTCCAGAGGCAGGCATTTCCCTCGTCCTGGTTTTCCTAAGCAGCCAGGGCCTAGGGCTTTTCAGAATGAAAGGGCAAGTGGAGAGGCAGGTACTGTTGCCTGAGTACCCCAAGACCAGCTCACACATGAGACATTTCTCAGTACAAGACCACCAGGGGTATGAGGGGCAGAAGCATGCCCTCTGCTCACAGAATCAACAGTCCACCAGCTCTGTAGCTCACTCCTACTGTATGTCCACCAACAGCAGTGTGCATGACAATCAATGTCCCCGCAGGCTTCATGTGACCTTGCCCCTCGATGTCCAGTGTTCCTTAGGGGCTCTTGTTCACCAGGGTGCAAATGCCTGTTCACCAGGGTGCAAATGCCTGCTGGTACATAATGTCATCTGCATGACAGCTTCCATTCCACAGAGGGAATGTCCCGTGGCAGCTGTGGCTGCTGTATGCCAGCACCGGTGTCCACATTGCCAACTGGGATCACAATTGCTATGTGCTGATTAGCTTCCCATGACGACCATGAGATGTCTGAGGAAGCTCAATTTTGAATGAAAGGGTGGCCTATTTTTAGCTCACAGTTTTGGAGGTAAAGGCCAAGTTCAGGCATCTTCCCCCACACTCCCATTGGGGGTCTGGTGATGTAATGACAGAGATCCCATAACCAGCCAGGAAGCAGAGAGACCAGCTGTGCCCAATGTGGCTTGTAGATTACCCTCCGTCTCTCCTCTACCCCAACCCCAGATGCCCCCCCATAACCCAGGGACCTCCTATTAGGCCTGTCTCTTAAACACTGGAGATTTAAGCTTCACCCTGTCAGGAACATCAACTTAGGCCTTTGGGGTTGAGTTCAGGAGCCACATTGCAGTCAAGCTCTAGCCTGCTCTGTGCCCCGGTGTCAGTCCACAGCTCAACAGCTGGCAGCAGCATGTGTCCAGTCACAGCCCTGGGTTTATTCTTCTCCTAGTTATTTGTCATCTTTTATTTATTTAAGTACTAGTGGTTGTGTTGATGGGATTATTGTTTGTTGAACTTGGAGGGAAATTCTTCCTATGTTTATTCTTTAGCTTCCAAAGCCATTTAGCATTTAACTTTGCATCGTCATTAGTCAGCATGTTGGGGATCAGGAGTGGAAGCAGTCACACATACACGTGTCATATGCTGTAATCATGGTTAACAGAACACAGGCAGACGTGGAGAGAGACAAACTGCCCTGACAGCCAGCACCGTCCCCCTAGGAGCAGCTTCCCATAGCTGAGTCTTAGAAGCGGCAACTTTCAAAGTCAAGGAATGACCAGCCCTCCCGCTGGGGAGTAGCACAAAGTACTAACCCCTGCCAGATGTCCCTGGGAGCTTCAGGTGCTGCTATGTAGCCACGTGAGTAGTGGCCAGGCTCCCAAGGGCTAGGCTAGGTCTGGGTTTGGAGCCCAGCTCTGCTGCCTATGGCTCAGTGACCTGGGGAGGGCCACTCACCCTCGCTTCCAGGCTTTGTCCATGTCTGTGAGACGGAGCTGCAGTACCAGTCATGGGAGGTAAAGGCCAAGTTCAGGGATCTGAACTTGGGGGGGACTCAGCAAGTCTGTGCACATAAACCAGTGTGGAGCCTGAATATAACAAGAGCCAGACATGAAATATCTTCATCTTGAAGATTCTTTGGCTGAACGTCGCAGGCTGTTGTGGCTGGCAGTGTTCTCAGCCAAGGCTTCTGAAGCTGGTGTCAGCTCCCCAGGGTGCTAGCATCTATACTGCTGTGCTTCAAAGTTCCACCCTGTGTCCCAGCACATTTCAGAGTCACCCAGCCACGCCACTTCCTTCTGACTCCTTGCTCTTAGACGCAGCACCGAGGAAATGACCCCAGAGACTGTTGTCCTGAGGCCACCATCTTCCCCCACGCTGGGACGGAGGCTTCCAGATGGAGTGGCTGACCTGCCAT